GAAGAGGAGGATTCTACGCAGCCTTCGCAGGACCTCGCCTGCTAAGGGCGAGCGGCTCGAAGGAGGAGGAGGAGGAGACGGAGGAGGAGGAGGAGGAGGAGGAGGAGGAGGAGGAGGAAGAGGAGGAGGAGGAGGCAGGGGAGGAGGAGGAGGAGGAGGAGGAGGAGGAGGAGGAGGAGGGGGAGGAGGAGGAGGAGGAGGAGGCGGGAGGCGGAACGCAGGTGCGAAGCACGAGGTCTGACCTCGACCTTGGCTGCCCAGCCTCTTACCCTCGTGAGCGCTGGGAGCGATGTGGTGGGCGGGGGGTGGGGGTGGGCATTCGCGGCAGCAGAAATAGCCCCGCCTCCACGGCGCCTCTGCGCCGCTTCTCTGCCTCCCGGACGGCGGAGGGGAGAGGAGGGAGGAGGGGCCAGCACTGGGCAGGCCAGGGGGACGCCGATCAGAGCGTGAACCAGGAGCAACCGCGGTCGGGAACCTTTGCTTGGCGTGCCGCGCCGCGGGTTTTGGCCCACCACGCCTCGGCGCGAGACATGCCAGCCATCAGAGGAGGAAAAGATACCGATGCCGCTGCTTGTCCTGGAGGGCCCTCGTCGCCACGCCTGGATTCTCCCCGACATCTGGTCAGAACGCACCCTGGGAGATGTCCAGGGAGTAGCGGTATCGGTACCTTCTGTTTCCATAACAACATCGCGGTCCCCGAGCGTCAATGTCCCGAGCTCTTCCCTGCCTCCCGCCCCGCGGAGCGGAGCGACGCGCTATCCGCTCGCGGTGCATAGCGTGTTGCCGGGGCCGCCGCCGCGACACGCCAAGCAGGAGTTCCCGACGCATCTCATTCTGTGGGAAGCATTAACGGGCTCCCCCGAGGGCGCGAAGTTATTCGCGCTTCGCGCTTCGCGGTCCTCGTTCCTTCTCCCCCTCCTCCTCGTCCTCCTATTCTCCCTTTGGGAGGGCGGCGCGAGAGCGCGAAGTTATTCGCACTTCGCGCTTCGCGCAGCGCGAAGCGCGAAGTTGGGAGCCCTTGATTAACGGGCTCCAGGACCTCAGAAGCTTGCCCGCGGAACTGGTCCCAGGGCCCTCTTCTGGGGCCCACATCGCGGGCGAGAGCGCCGGCACCTAGTGACTGGGGTCAGGGGTTCGGGGCGGCCGGGAGGCCCAGGCGCCTTGAGGCATCCATCCAGGGATCCGCTGCCTGGTGAGCACGCTGGGCTGCTGGGCGGCGTGCCAGGGAGCGTGCCCAGCGGGAGAGGGCCCTGGCGCAGGTCTGGCTCGGGAAGGCCGTGGAGGTGCCTGTGTGGCGCCCTTCTGCTGGCTGTCTGCTGGCCGTTAGGCGCTGGGCCGCCTGTGCCCTCCGCGGTTGAGAGTGCTCGCCGTGATCGTGGGCCCACGCGTGGGTTGGGAGGGCATTTGAGGACGGGTGGGAGGAAACGGCAGATGATGATGCTGATGATGCTGATGATGCTGATGATGCTGATGATGCTGATGATGGTGGTAAAAGTGATGATGGTGGAGTTGATGACGATACTTTCGTTGATGACGGTGACGCTGATAATGGTAGTGGTGAAGATGATGAGACGTAAGGACCGTGATGAACAGGGCAGACACAGCAGCATAAGTGTCAGTATCAGCAGGTGCAGTGACAGCAGCAACGGTTGCAAGCGACGCCCAGTCTTCGCGCCGGTTTACCTGGAGCCGCTGCTACAAGATCCAGACGCCTGGTGTCGGAGAGGCCTTTTGCAGCTCTCTAGCTGAGGGAAGGAGGTGGCGCAGTAGGATTGTCTTGAGATTGTGGTTGAAGAGGAGGACGAGGAGGGCGAAGTCGATGCGGAGGCGGAGGTAAAGGAGGTCAGGGAGGATCAATCGGTTCCCTGCTCTTTGCTGGGAGACATGTCGAAGAAGGCGATCACGTGAATAATGGGGTGGCTAGGCGAGTAGATACGGCGCCAAAGTGCACGATTGACGCCTGCTGGGTGAAGAGGAGGAGGAGGAGGAGGAGGAGGAGGAGGAGGAGGAGGAGGAGGAGGAGGAGGAGTAGGAGGAGGAGGAGGAGGAGGATTAATGTAAACTTACGACTCACCAGCGGTGTTGCAATAAGGCCTTAATAAGGCCTCCCCCCAGTGCCCTCCTCATAGGCCCCCTGCAAGGAGTTAAACTCACTTAGGGAAGTGCCCCTTTGGAAGACAATCGTTTGAAAATCCCGCACCGTGCCAAAACATTAATTCCTGGGACTGCAACGCTGCGAGTCAACGTTGCTGTGTCGTCCTGGCGGTCCTGCATCGTGCCGGAGCAGCGTTCTTGGGACTCCAGCACCGCGAATCCACATTGACTGTTGCGCCCTGCCACACTATGTAACGTCTTGCCAGACCACCGTTTCTGGAGCGAGAGCCATGAGAACCCTCGAGACTGTCGCGAACTCTCAAGACGAATGTACGCGGTGCCGACGCGAGAGCCACATGCTGAAAAGGAGCCGCCGTCCATCCGTGAAGCTCTTGCAACCTTTTAAGACGAAAATGCGAAGTGCTAGGGCGAGAGCCATGATTTGACCAGGAGCCGCCCTCCATGCGTGAAGCGCTGGCGAACTTTGAAGACGAATGTGCGCGGCGCTTTGGCGAGAGCCACATTTTTACAACGGCCCGCCCTCTATCCTTGAAGCTGTTGCGAACTTTTAAGACTAATGTGCGCAGTGGTAAGGCGAGGGCCACATTTTGAAAAAGACACGCCCTCCATCCGTGAGACTCTTGCAGGCTTGTAGGACGAATGCACGCGGCGCTAAGGCGCGAACCACATTTTGAAAACGGCCTGCCCTCTATTTGTGAAACTCTTGCAAACTTTAAGACGAATGTGCGCGGCGCTAGGGCGCCAGCCACATTTTGGAAACGACACGCCCTCCATCCACACAGCTGTTGCAAATTCTCAGCTTCAGGGCCATCAGTTGCTAGGAAGTCTCAGACAAAACGGCCGGCCCGCGTCACCAACACGTCTCGGGGTGCGACAGGGATAAGTGATTTATCAAGAAAAGGAATTGAGGAGGACGGGGGACGAGGACGAGGAGGAGGAGGAAGAGGAGGAGGAGAAGGAGGAGGAGGAGGAGAAAGAGGAGGAGGGCATCAGTCATGGAGTAACGCTGCCCGCAGCATCTTCGGCAGGAGTAAGCGGAGGAGGGTGAGGAGGAGGAGTAGGAGGAGGAAAAGGAGGAGTCGGAGTCACACGCGCACACGCACACGCACACGCACACGCACACGCACACGCACACGCACACGCAAACGCACACGCACACCCGCACGCGCACGCGCACGCACACGCACACGCACACGCACACGCACACGCACACGCACACGCACACGCACACGCACACGCACACGCACACGCACACGCACACGCACACGCACACGCACACGCACACGCACACGCACACGCACACGCACACGCACACGCACACGCACACGCGCACACGCGTGCACGCGCGCACGCGCGCACGCGCGCACGCACGCACGCACGCGCACGCGCGCACGCGCGCACACGCGCGCACGCGCGCACGCGCGCACACGCGCGCAGGCGCGCACGCTCGCACGCGCGCACGCGCGCACGCGCGCACACGCGCACACGCGCAGCCGCGCACACGCGCACACGCGCACACGCGCACACGCGTACACGCGCACGCGCGCACACGCGCACACGCACACACGCGCACACGCGGACACGCGCGCGCACACGCGCACACGCGCACACGCGCACACGCGCACACGCGCACACGCACACACGCACACACGCACACACGCACACACGCACGCACGCACACACGCACACACGCGCACACGCGCACACGCGCAAACGCACACACGCACACACGCACACACGCACACACGCACACACGCACGCACGCACACACGCACACACGCACACACGCACACACGCACAACACAAACGCACACGCACAACACACGCACACACACACACACGCACACACGCACACCCGCCCACACGCACGCGCGCACCACGCGCACGCCACGCCGCCCACGCCACGCCCCCACGCCCGCCCACGCCCGCCCACGCACGCCCGCGCACGCCCACGCACGCCCACACACGCCCACACGCGCCCACACACGCCCACACACGCCACACAGGCCACACACGCCGCACACGCCACGCACGCCGCGCACGCCACACATGCCACACACGCCACACACGCCACGCACGCCGCGCACGCCACACACGCCACACACGCCACACACGCCACACACGCCACGCACGCCACACACGCCACACGCGCCACACACGCCACACGCGGCAGACACGCCACACACGCCCCACACGCCCAAACGCGCGCCTACGCGCGCACGCACACACGCACACACGCACACGCGCACACGCGCACGCACACGCACACGCACACATTTACACACGCACTCACGCACACACGCACACACGCACACACGCACACACGCACACATGCACACACGCACTCACGCACACACGCACACACGCACACACGCACGCACGCACGCACGCACACACGCACACACGCACACACGCACACACGCACACACGCACACGCGCACACGCGCACACGCGCACACGCGCACACGCGCACACGCGCACACGCGCACACACGCGCGCACACGCGCACACGCGCACATGCGCACACGCACACACGCACACACGCACACGCGCACACGCACACACGCACACGCACACACGCGCAGACGCGCACACGCACACACGCACACACGCACACACGCACACACGCACACACGCACACACGCACACACGCACACACGCACACACGCACACGCACACACGCACACACGCACACACGCACACACGCACACACGCACACACGCACACACGCACACACGCACACACGCGCACACGCGCACACGCGCACACGCGCGCACGCGCACACGCGCACACGCGCACGCGCGCACGCGCGCACGCGCGCACACGCGCACACGCACACACGCGCACACGCGCATACGCGCACACGCGCACACGCGCACATGCGTACACGCGCACACGCGCACACGCGTGCGCGTGTGCGCATGTGCGCGTGTGCGTGTGTACGTGTGTGCGTGTGTGCGTGCGCGCGTGGGCGCGCGTGGGGCGTGTGGGGCGTGTGGGGCGTGTGTGGCGCGTGTGGCGTGCGACAGCCTGGGCATCAGTTCGAACTCCAACAACTCACAGTGCGGCCCCCAGGACGAACCTTTGTGCGTGGCAAGGTGAGCCCCTCGCCGTGCAGCACCGCGCTGCCCGCGCCGCCTAGTCGTCATCCGCGCCCGCGTGCTCCCAGGCAAGCGCTGCTCCTCCCCCGGCCGCGGGGCGAAGCATGCAGACCTGGAACTGCGCCTGCAGGCGCGGCTCCTGGGGCTGGTGGCGCCGCTGGCGGCGAGACGGGTGGCCCTGCGGCAGGCGCAGCAGCAGGCGACGCCCATGGGTCAAAGGCCGCAGGTGGGCCCGTGGCGGCTGCGGCGGGGGTGGCAGCTGCAGGGGCCGCCTCCGCGGACCCTGCCGCGGACTGCAGGGCTTCTGCAGCAGGGAAGGCAGCGCCCATGGCCAGCACCTGGGCCAGGATGGATTCGAGCAGGACCGGCCCCTGGCCACTGGCAGTGGCGGCAGGGGCGGCGCTGAGCAAGGTCTGCAAGCCGCGCAAGTTGGTGGCGAGGTTTGCCAGATGCACGCCTCCTGAGCCTGCCGCAGAGGCTGCCACAGCTCGCTGGGCTGCCAAGACCTCTGCCTCCAAGCCCACGATGGTGTCGCCGAGCTGCTCCTTCTGCGCGCGGAGGCTCTCGACGTGGGTTTCGGCTGCCTCCAACGCTGCACTGGTCTGCTCGTGCTCATCGCGGGCCTCGGCCAGGCGGCTGTGGAGCGTGCGGAGGAGGACGTCGGGGGGCTGAGCCTTGCGGCCCTCCGCCTCCAGCGTGGCCAATTCACGGGCAGCGGCGACGACGAGGGGGTGGTGCGCAGCGTGCTGGGGGTCCTCTAGGGCTGCCAACCCCTTCCGCGCCCTCGCGACCGAAGGGCTGCCGGTGGTCCCAGCAGCAGCGGGCTCCCCAGCACGTTGGCCAGCAGGAGGAGCAGCCGCGCGGCGGCGGCGCCCAGCGGACGGGGCACGGGCGGGGGCCTTGGCCTTCGGCTCGGCGGCAGGCTGCAGGCGGCCTTGGTGGTCGCGCCCGCACTTCCAGCACGTGGCCCTCGACGGGAAGTTGGTGCGGAAGCCGCGCAAAGCCGTGTGGCCACGCGCGGCCATGGCTGCTGGTCACCACCTCCCGCAGCGTCGGCTCCTGCACGCCGCCACGGCGCACTGGCCGACGACATGGCTCCGCTGTCCCCGCACAGACGTTCTCCGTGATGGGCCGCCGCGCAGCAGCGCAGCGCAGCGTGAGCCTGGTACGCGAGCGAAGCCGCCGAGCTCGCCGATGCCAGGCCGGCGAGCGCGACCTGGCGCGCTTGGGAATGGCGCGAGTGCCCGAGAGTCGAGCGACTGGCTAGGGCCAAATGGGAAGGCGCCACCCTCCGCCCAAGCGGGGGGGGCACGGAACCCAAATGGCACTTAGGAAGAGGAGGGGGAAGAGGATGAGGCGGAGGAGGAGGAGGACGAGGAGGAGGAGGAGGAGGGGAGGAGGAGGAGGAGGAGGAGGAGGAGGAGGAGGAGGAGGCAGGAGAGGAGGAGGAGGAGGAGGAGGAGGAGGAGGAGGAGGAGGAGGAGAGGAGGAGGAGGAGGAGGAGGAGGAGGAGGAGGAGCAGGAGAAGGAGGATGAGGGGGAGGAGGAGGAGGAAACAGGCATGGGGGACAGGTGATCGGGTGTTGCCAAGGGTGTCCCTGGCCCCAGGTGTCCCCAGGATTCCCTGAGAGTCCCATATGGACAGCAGGGAAGCCCATCACGAGGCCCAGAGGGCCTCAGGGGCCCCAGAATGGCGCGAAAAACTTGGGATTGCCTGCGCCAAGGTCAACTTCCCAGACCTCCGAAGTTATGCTTTTCACAACGCGTGCCTCCGGAGGTCTCGACCCCTTCTGCGGGACCATGTTTTCATCCCGAGTCGTTTGTTGGCGCCCCCCGATGGCCGAAAGTCATTCAACACCTCCCGCCGTGCTCTCTTGTCAAGGCGAGGAGGTCAGCCTTTGGCAGCCCCCGAGATGCGGAGGGCGCGAGTGCCTGTCCCGGTTCGATGATCCTCAGGACGCGTGTTAGCTCAACGTATTTTGCTATCGTCCGGCTCCATCCGCGGCGCGCAGCCCTCATTGCGCAACCGACGTCGTGCTGAATGGCTTCGGTGGGCAAACCACACGCAGGCGCTCACACGCGTTCCGAGGACCACCGGCCGGTGCCCCGCAAGAGGTGCTGGAGGTGCGGCTGGGCTGCGGGGACGTGCTACCGGCCTCCCCCGGCGCCCGGCCTGCCGAGCCCGAGCCGGCACGGTGCCGCTGCACGGTGGCCCACGGGAGCCGGGACGCCGCAAACGAGTCGGGGGTGGACAGAACCCCCACCCTGACACGTCGATTAGCGAATTGTCCGTTTTCGGTTCTCGAGGGCGCCGCGGTCTTCATTTTCCAGGCTTGCGCCCGCCAGGTTTGGGCCCGAGGTCGTTTTCACTAAACCACGTTTTACTAAAGTGGGTTCTGTCCATCCCCGAACGAGGATTCTGCAGGATCACCGCGAAACTCGACTGGACGTACGAGTGCCCCTTCGCCGGATTTACCTCTGGTGCGGGCACAGTCAGTGGGGGTCCCCGATCGCCGGAATCGGTGCGCTGGCAGCGCCTTGCGCGCCTGTGTTTGGTCACCCCGTGGCCCCCCAAAAAGCCGCGCACCAAAGGTCACTCTTACCCAGGGTCACTCTTGCGTGTAGCCGAGAGACTGGGTACAGTCAAGCCGTTGAAATAAGGGAGCAGTCCGGGTTCGGGCGGGACTCGCCGTGCCTCGGGTCCCTCCACGACTTGTTTCTCTGTTGCTCCTCATGCACCTGGTGCTCTTGGGGCCTGAGCTTTTTTTTTTTGGGGGGGGGGGGGGGGGGGGGGGGCGCTGGTTATGGCAGCGGCTTGACTGTAGACATGACGCGTCGGGCCTGGGCGAGAGCTGGATACCCATGTGCCCAGATGTTTCTCCAGCGCTCGGCCACTGTACGGCCAGGCAGGCTGGGACTCCGCGTGCGTATCCAGGTCGTGGCTTCCGGATGTTCCACATGTGGGTCTGGCAGTTTTCGGCCTGCAGGAACTCTTACACTGGGCCACGGGGCCGTCGGCAAAGCGACTCAGGATGAGAAGCCGGTCCTGGGAAGGGGTCCAGACCTTTGGGGAGCCACGCTGCGGAAATTCAGGACGTGTCGGATGCTTGGGGGGTGGAGAATGGAGAATATCTTGGCCCGCGGCCGCAGGTTTGTTGTTCGGCGGGGCGCCCAGGGGCGTTGGGCAGAGGGCCTTCAAAGCTCTCCGCTGCGGAGCCAGGGATGGCTTCTCAGAGGGCGGGAGGGCTTCTGAGAAGCCTGCCGCCTGTGGGAGGGCTTGCCCCCTCTCGCCTCCCCCCTCGGCGCGCCGCCGAGTTGGTCCACGGGCGGGGCGATGTTTTGGAGTTCTGATTTCTGCTCTTCTGGCTGACGCTTTTGCCCTCCTGCTGGGCTCTCAGTCTGCTGCTCACGGCAGTCGGGGATGACGGAGCGCAAGGCGGGTAGTGGGCAGGTCTCAGAGGTCAATTGTTGTTGTCGTCTTTGTATTGCTTGTGTATGGTTGTTTGTTTCCAGCCTCAACATGGGGCCCCCAGAAGTCCCACCTTTTCCCAGGACGGGCTTTGCATCCTGGTTCGTTTCTTCAAGGTCCCTGGGCCCAATGAATGCCCCCCAGAGGCCGAACACGTCGAAGCATTTCCATTTCTTTTTTGTTTTCTCCCAGGGCGTTGGGTGTATGGGGGTAGGATGTGTGCTCGACACCCAGCCCTTAATTGCAGGAGCGAGTTTGAGCACATCATGTCCTCGTCTATCAGAGTCCACTTTTGCGAGGTCCTGAGATCGACACCACCCAGACATACTTCTATCTTTTGGGTGCGTCGGTTCCCCCAGGGGCGAAGCGCGCGCTTCGAAATCTTATATCTACAGTATTCGCACCCGGAAGCTTTCTGAGCATACTGCCGATCTGCTATGTGATATTGCGCCACGTTTTCTGGTCGGACGTGCGCCACCAAACGAAGCACACAGTGCCAATACGTCCTTCTGCGTCCCGTGAGGTGATGCCGAGAGGTGATGCGCTCGCCTTCCCGCAGGGTGCCAATGGGAGGCCAACAGCGTACCCGGGGTACCCCGGGAGCAGACGTGCCTTGAAGCCCCGCTGCCCTCGGCCGCCCCTTTCCTGGGGCCCTCAGCCACCAAGCTCATGAGCGGACTGCCTCGGTTGCGCGCAGACCCAGACCTCCAACGTTTTTGTTTTAGTTTTCCGCTCTCTCTCTCTCTCTCTCGCTCCCCACGGCCGATGAAACCTCCAGGAGCGAATCCGGGCCGAAGACGTGGCCCCGGGGCAGGCGGCGGGACGCCTGGGGCCGCGCACTGCAGAAGCGGATCGTCGGAGGTCTGGGGAGGGGGAACGGGTGGGCAGCGGGGCGCGGCCTTCTGAGAAGCCGTGGGCTTTCGCAGGAGGCTGCCCCCCTCTCGCGCTAGCCCCCCCCCCCCCTGAGGAGGAGGAGGAGGAGGAGGAGGAGGGGAGGAGGAGGAGGAGGAGGAGGAGGAGGAGGAGGAGGAGGAGGAGGAGGAGGAGGAGGAGGAGGAGGAGGAGGAGGAGGAGCCCCTGGCCCCTGTAGCCCTTGACCCTGCGGGGTGCTCGTGCGAGGCCGGACTGCTCAGGCGTCCAGCGGCTTGGAATACAGGGTGCGGCCAAATTCGCCGTTTTGGGCATCTGGAGGGGAGTTTCGGTCGCGGGGCCTTACACAAAAAAGCGACTCGGGATCAAAAGCCAGTCGAGGGGAAAGGGTGCCAGCCCCCCAGGAGAGCGATTCGTTTGCATTTCTTAATTCTGAACACTGTAGCCCGCACATGTGAAAGACAGTCGCCAGCCAGGATGGTTTTCTTCTTGAAGTGCCACTTTCTTGTGCCCTGGCCGTGGACATGCGCCTCCAGCCAGCGGCACTTCTTCAGCCGATGTGTCGTGCAGACACGGCGTTATTGATGCATTGATTGGGGAAGGGGCCGAGAGTCGAGAGGTCAGGGGGCACACATCTCGATACAGGTCGAGCCTCTGGATGTCTGGGCCATGAGCTGACTACGAGCCCTAGACCCTTGTGGCCCCCTATCGGGGTTCGGACGCCACCTGGGCTGCAAGTGTGAGACAGCGGACGGGGAGGGTACCCGCTCGAACGGAGGCCCTCTAAGGCTCCAGAAGCCTGCGCTCGACCCTCTCGCGTGCCCCCAAGAGGCGAGGCACGAGTCCACCTCCTGCGCATGTGCAGGGCTCTGCAGCAGCGTGCAACCGATCCCCATCTCATCTGGGCCATGGCATCTCGGCCTTACCAGGTCACCCGCTCAGGTGGGGATGGGCCCCGCGAAACCTGATGGGAACAGCATGTGCTCCCGCCCTGGCCAGGAGGGGAAAAACACACACAGACACAGTTGATCATCGATCCCCCGGAAAGTATGGGAAATTATGGGGTTTGGGGGGAAGACGAACACCCAGAAAATACGGGATAATATGGAACATCCTGGGATTTGTGTGTATTTGTTTCTGTGTCCTTTGGCCCCTTCACTTGGGGGGGAAGTCGGCCAGTGGGGCCAAGGCCATGCCAGCGTGGATAGGGATCGGTGAAACGATGCTCAGGGCTGGTGGCTCGGCGATCGTAGCCGAATCTCGGAGCAGACGCGCCCCGGAGCCCACCGCCCACCGCGGGAGACGCCCAGGGCCCAGGGCCCAGGCCTTGCCGCAGGCCGTAGCCGGCGCCGTGGCCTCTGTGGCGTCTCGCTGGGGGCACGTCGACCTGTGCTGCGTTCAGAGGCGACGATAGGGGCGAATAGCCCAGGGGAGAGCAATACATGTATTCAGGTGCGCCGATGATCGATGTCTTCGAAAAGGCTCCCGGGCGAATAGTAATGCCCGCCCCTGGGCTATTCGCCCCTACCGTCGCCGCCGATATGTTTGAGCCCTTCCAAGGTGCGCCCCTCCGGGCACTGCCGTCTCCGGGGTGTCAGCGCTGCTACACGTTCGACGCCCCTGGCGGCGTGACTGTGAATTTCTCGCTGTACCTTCCCCCGTCCTACGAGGACCGGCCGCCAGAGTCAGGGTGGCCGCTGCTCATCTTCCTCCACTCCATGCTGGTAAGGCTTCGGGGTACGCACAGACAGCCCCCACCCCAGGTAGTCCCGGCTGGCCTCGGCAGGCCCCCCGAGCCTGGGGCTGTCTGCGTGCAGCCCAAAGCCGTACCACTCCATGCACGGGCGCCTCGACGGAGACAACAACCTCTTCTTCGAGTCCGACACCCCGGTGAGGCTCCTGCTCGGAGACGCCAGGTGCCCCCGGGGCCTCCGCGAGAGCTTTGTCGTGCTCTCCCCGCAGTGCCCAGCGGACCCGACGCGGCACGACGGCGCCGGGATCTGGCTCCGGAGCTCAGGGGCATCGTTGAGAGGGGGATAGGCTCAGGGGGCACGCATCGATCCCCGATCGCCCATTCATCGTCGATAGGGACCTGATAGCCCACCCCGCTCAGGCACGTACGAAGTCGCTATCGGGGTTCCATCACTTGTCTATCGGCAATGCATTGCCGACTCCACGTCGATGTTTGCCCAACTGAGCTGGTCCCCCCTATCGTCGACTACACATAAGAATGACCCTTCGCCGGAGTGACCTTTTGGTGCGGTCCCACTGGGCCCCCCCCGATCGCAGAACGCGATGCGATAGTAGCGTCTTGCGCGCTTGGGTTTGGCCCCCCCGCGGCTTCCCGAAAGCCGCGCACCAAAGGCCATTCTTGGCTAGGGTCACTCTTCTGAGCTACGCGCAGAGGGGGTAGGGGAAGGGGGAAAGGCTTGTTAGAAGCACCCTGCTTCTTAGAAGGCGCGGGCCTTGCCAGTAGATGTAAGGCTGGCGCCTTCTAAGAAGCAGCCTCCTTCTAAGGAGCCTTCCCCCCTCCCCATACCCCCTCTGCGCGCCGCCAATATTGCGTGTAGCTGGTCTCGTTCCCCCTCAGGAGCGGCTGGTTCGAGCAGTCCACGTACAACTCGGGGGTAGAGGAAGCTGGCTCCGCGCAGACCGAAGGGGCGATGGGCCCGGCCCCTTTCGCGTCGCGGAAGAAGGCTCAACCTTCTGCCGTTTTTCGGCCTCTCGGTTGGGGCCTTCTCCGGCCCCCGGGACCGTACAAAACAACGACTTATGATGAAAAGCTGGTGGCGCCGGCCACGCGGCATCCCGAGTGCTGCTGCAGATCCCCGCGGCCAGAGCGTCAACTCATGGTTGTAACCAAAGGCCATTTTTTAGGCCGCAGCTTTCAGCAGCAGGCGTCCGCATGCTTGCCACGAGGTCTGAAAGCGACACGTGATAGTTCAGACAGCTTCAGTGCTGCTGGCGATGCGATGCGATGCGATGAAAAGCTGGTCCTGAGTTTTCGCACCAGGCGATTTCGCCGGGCTTGTTGGGCCCTGGGGCAATCACAGATCGATCCGCCTCGAAAAATGTGCAGCAGAAAGATGGGGTCCAGGGCTCTGGCCGTGATTTTTCTAGATGGGCGACGCAGAACAACGGGGTCGTCTTCGCCGACATTGGCGCGTAAGGTGCTCGCGTAAGGTCGCTCGTAAGCAACCTCGCTTCCAGCGTAGCGTGCCGCGCTGGCGGCCCGCGTAAGCCACCGCGTAAGGTCGCTATGCCATCTCGCGTAAGTCCCGTTTTGATCGTCGCCCAGATGCCGCCATTTTTTCGCAGCGTCGGATCTCAGGGGAGAGCGAGGGCGGGCGGCCCTCTGAGAAGGCAGGGGGCTCTGAGAAGCTCTCCCGCCTCCCAGAGGCCCTCGGGCTCTCCCACTAGGCCCCGCTCGCCCAGGGACCCCTCTTGAGCGCCGCCACGAGGAGGCGCTCGCCAGCCTGTTCGAGGCGACTGCCGCTGCCTGCAACATTGACCGGCGGCGGATCCTGGTCACTGGCACATGTCGGGTGTTGCTAGGAGTGCCCCTGGCCCCAGGTGCCCCCAGGCATGAGGAGGAGGAGGAGGAGGAGGAGGAGGAGGAGGAGGAGGGAGGAGGAGGAGGGAGGAGGAGGGAGGAGGAGGAGGGAGGAGGAGAAGGAGGAGGAGGAGGAGGAGGAGGAGGAGGAGGAGGAGGAGGAGGAGGAGGAGGCAAGGGGGCCCCCACGGCCTCCCAAGCACCCCTCACGAGGCCCAGGGGGGCCCAGGGGGCTCCTCAAAGCGGAGCGAAAAGCGGGGGGCACCTTGGGCCAGGGGCACCTTCAGCAACCCCCTGGGCCTCGATGGGCGCCTACGCCTGCCTGGAGCTCGGGGCGAGGTGGCCCGGCTTCTTCGCGGCGGCTGCGCCGGTGGCGCCACATTACGACTTGGACCCGGTCGAAGCCTTGGTCGATAATCTCACGCAGACGCAGGAGCTGCCGCTCTGGATCTTCCACGCCAAGAACGACGGCATGTGCCCATACGAGCCAATCGCGGACCTCGTCGCGAGACTCGGCGAGAAGTCCAGGGCGGAGGTCCGCTTCACGAGCTACGAAGACACCTGGAGCAGCCAAGGAGTTTGCGGCTCAACCACAAGGGGGGCTGGGGGGCGGTTCCAAAATGGCGGGCGGCCTCTTCGAGGCCACCCTGGCTGAGGAGGAGGGGGGGCGAGGAGGAGGAAGAGGAGGAGGAGGAGGAGGAGGAGGAGGAGGAGGAGGAGGAGGAGGAGGAGGAGGAGGAGGTGGAGGAGGAGGAGCAGGAGGAGCAGGAGGAGGAGGAGGAGGAGGAAGAGGAGGAGGAGGAGGAGGAGGAGGAGGAGGAAAAGGAGGAGGAGGAAACCATTCGGCCGAGGGGCGGGACCGTCGTCGCCTCGTCGGTCGTCCCGCCAGTCGTGGCTCACGCGCGGGCCATCAAAGAAAAGAGAAGCAAAGAAGAAGGCCGCCGCGACCAGCGGCCAGGGCTGCAAAGACGCCCAAAGGGCGGGAGTAGTCCTGGCATCGACGTCTACGTGCCCTCAGAGGACAGGACCGACTGCTGATTCGCGTGGTGGCAGCCGCAAATCGCTTCAACTGTCACCACAGCGCGCAGCAGCCGCAGAACCAGAAGGGCAAGATGTCGCAGAAAGGGAGTTGGCAGCGCCGAGGGAACTCGGGGGGAAGGTGGTCAGGAGCAGGGACCACACAGCCCGCGCCCCGCACGAGCGCAGCTGGGAAAAGTTGTTTCTGGAGCAGGGTCCACACGCCCAAGCTCCGCTCGGGACTCTGGGGAAAGGTGGTCAGGAGCAGGGGCCACACACCCAGGCCCCGCCGTCGGTGCTCAAGAGGGACCTGTTGGAGGGCGTCTTGGAGACTGGAAGAACGAGCAGCAGCACAGCTGGAAGGACAGGGCCACCTGGAGGGGCAGCTCGGCCAAAAGGACGGGCAGCAGAAGCAGGAAGAGGGCCCAGCAAGAGACCCGCTGCACAGAGCACGTCTGTATCTTCTAGTACATTCAACTTCTGCAACTTCTAGTACGTGGTCCTCAAGGATTGCACACTGCTGTAACTGCAACTTTCTCCCCAATCTGATTCATGTGTTCAACATCTGTATGCTAACCATCACCGTGGTAGGGCATACGCTGTGGTCAATTTTCGATGTAGCACCTCTTTGACAATGCGTTGGCCCCGTGTGCCGAAATGTCGATGCGATAATCATGTGCTGCTCTTCTGCGAACGTGCGCAATTGTGCTTAACTGTTGGTCTCGCGCGTCGTCTCTATGATGCCGACGTGCTCATCGCCTCGTGTGTAACATACTCCTATGTCTCTTCGCATGCCAAATCCGCAATTGAAATCACCTGCAACTATCGGTGATGTGCTGTGACCTTCATTCTCGATCTGCTTGCCTATCCACTGCAAAATGCGGGCGCTGGCCTCCTTCAGGATCAGGGGACATGTGACCCTTGGGGAAATACACTGGGAAGAGGCAGATCGACTGCCCGTGTGCAGCAAACTTCACTTTGGCGACCCTGCCCGTGATGCCGTGTGACCTCGGTGGGGCTGCTGCCTGCTGCACTCCATGTACGGACTGGCCTAGCAAGACCGCGATGCCACAACTCTTGGTGACCTACTTGGGAAGTTTCCATCCAAATTGACTAGCTTTGTGAAACGGTAGCGTTGCCTGCTGCATGCCGTGCTCTACGTCGGTGTGCCTCTGTGTGCTCGTGACGACCACGACGTCCACGCTCTGGCACTGCATGCCGATCTCCTCCAGGCGGGTGAATTCCGCACTCTGCGCGTTGTAGTGGACTATTTTGAGCACCATCCTGGCTGCACCGTGCTCGCCTCCCCCCTCTCTGTGCTCCTGCTTGCCCCTAGGCCGCCTTCGGCCCGAGGAACGCCATGTTCGTTCTGTCTCAGGATGTGTGGGGGCTGTGGGTGCTGAAGCTGCCTTTTGCTTGTCTCTGAGCCGGGATGGCAGCTGGACGAGGAGGAGGAGGAGAAGGAGGAGGAGGAGGAGGAGGAGGAGGAGGAGGAGGAGGATAGGAGGATGAGGCCCTCCTGGCTTCCGAGGTTCCTTCCTACGAGCCCCCGCGCACCGCCAAGAAGCCCCCCGCCTTCCGAGCAGCCCCCTCGCCGCCCGCCCCCTCAGAAGGCCGCCCCCAGATTCCCTCGCGTTGTGAAAAAATCACGACGGAAGTTTTTCAGTATTTTCAGCCTCCAGGGGCCCTTACGGGGCCTCGGGAACGTCAAACATAGACTCTGGATGAAAAATCGGTCCCGGGGAAAGGGTCCTGACCTCTGGGGGTCGACGGTGTGAACATATCACGACGTGGGGGGTCTGGACCCCTCCCCCCCCGGTCGCGCGCCGCCGCAGGACACTGCGCGGACAGGGTGGCCTACTGGGCCGGCGCCCCGCCCGAGGGCCAGGAGCCGGGTGCTGCGCCAGAGGTGTCCCCAGCTCGTCGCCAGAGAGGTCTCGCTGGAGAGGTCTCGCCAGATGGGTCCCAGCCCGAGGGCGCGAGGCGCCACTTCTGGAGCCGCCAGGCCCCCTCCCAGCTTTCCGACGGCCTGTTTTTGTCAACCCAGGCTTTGGGCCTCTGCGCTTTTGTCCTCGATTTGGGCCTCTGGTGTCCGCTGTCGTGCCCCGTGGCTCTCAAGCATGCGTCCGGGACGGTGCGCTGGCTCTGGGCAAGGGGTCGGGACTTTCCAGGGGCCGCGCACGGAGCAAAATCATGTTGTCGGATGTCTGGTGGGCCTGGGCTTCGTGAGGATGCCCTGCGGGCCCGGGGGGCCTCCCTGGAGATCGTGAGGGGCACTTCGTGTGGACCGGGGACACCCTTGGCAGCCCCCGAAAGAACGGCAAACGGCGACGGTGCTATCCAGACATGCGATGTCTTGGCAGGACTCATGGCTTCAGGCCGCCCTTTTGCCGAACAGGACCGTGCTGTGGAGACACCGTCCCTGGCTTGCTTCGCGCAAGGTGCCTACATGTGATGCCTCGGTTTTATTTCGATACGGGGGCCCCAGAAGTTCCGACCCTTTCCGCAGGATTGTTTTTTTCGATTCCAGTCGTTTTTGAAGGTTCCGGGGCCCGGCGAGGGCCCCCAGAGGCCGAGACCGGATCAAACACTCCCGTCGTGATTTCTCGCGACGCGAGCGTATCTGGGCCCCTCCCGAAGATGGGTGCCTCCAGAGGCCTCCGCCAGCGCTGCCGGGCCCCCGCCGCAGGGCCCCTGGTGCACTGCCAGAGGCCTCGGCCCCTGACCCCCGGCTGGATTTTTCCAACCGGCGGGTTTTCCTTCACGGTGCAGGGGGACTCCGTCAGGTTCTCGGACGTCTTCGTCGGTCTCAGGAGGTCTTCCTGCCCTGGGATGCGCTCCAGCAGCTGCGTCTCCCCAAGGGCGTTCCGGGGGTGCCTGGATCGTCCCGAAGAGCCGCCGAAGGCACGAGTTCTGGCCCGAAAGTCGAGTGGCCCCACGCCTCCTGGGACATGATGTTTTCGACCAGCGTCTTTTCCTCGAGTCGGGCCTCCAGGGGCCCGTTGCCGCCCCCCAGGGACATCAAGAGTGCGCCCGAGACGGAAAACGGGCCCCAAGGAAGGGGTCGGGACCTCCCTGGGGCCGGGCATTGAAAACTCATGTCGCCGGATGTTGTGGACCGACGACGGCGGCGGCGGCGGCCTCGACGACGGCGGCGACATCCGACGAAATGATGTTTTCAATGTGCGGCTTCAGGTGCCGCGCTCTCAAAATCATATTGCTGGAGACCTGTGGAAGATTACCGACGACGACGGCGGCGACGACGGCGACGGCCGACCGACCGACCGACCGACCGACTGACCGACCGACGACGACGACGACGACGATAACGACAACGACGACGATCGACGACGACGACGACCGACGACCGACGAACGACGACGACGACGACGATGACGACCGACGACGGACGACGGACGACCGACGACGGACGACGACGACGACAACGACGACGATGGACGACGACGACGACGACGACGACGACGGCGGCGACGACGACGGCGGCGACGACGACGACGGCGGCGACGACGACGACGACGACGACGACGACCGACCAGGAGCGCGGCGAGCCCGGGGGGGAAGTGCGAAGCCCCGCCGCCTTCTGAGAAGGCCTTCTCCGTCTCACTTCCCCCTCAGCGCGCCGCCGACTATCGGCCAAGGTCGGTCCCCGGACCCCTCGTCTGGTCCATCCGACTCGGTTTCCCGCCCCGGATCGAGTTCCGGGAGTCCCCGGGCCCGAAGACGGCCCCCAGAGGCCGAGAACGAGGAAATCACCGCCTTGAACCTGGAGTCCCCGGGTCGAACCTCGAAGCGCCCCCCCTCTCTCGCTCGCTGCGGGCGAGGAGCCCTGGCACGGCCCCGAGCTCTTCGAGTGGCTGGCGGCGAGGCTCGGCCCGGGCCGCCGCCCTGGCGCCCCCGCTGCTGGCCGTCCGCCCGCGCAGGGCGGGCACCCCGCCTGAGGGGCGCCGGGCCTCTGGGCGGCGCCGCGCACGGGCCTTTGGGCTGGGGCCCCTGCAGAGGTCCAGCGTATGGAGGAAGTCCTCCTGCCCCTCCTCCTCCTCCTCCTCCTCCTCCTCCTCCTCCTCCTCCTCCTCCTCCTCCTTCTCCTCTTTTTACGTTCGGGCAGGTGCCATGCTTGTAGCGTTCGTCGTCCTCCTCCTCCTCCTTCTCCTCCTTCTCCTCCGCCCCCGGGCTCGGGCTCTCCATGAAGCAGACGCGCCCTGCAGAGATCCAACGTATTGAGGAAGTCCTCCTCCTCCTGGTGCCTCGTGCCTGAAGGCGCAAGAGTCATGCCGACGCCGCCTGCCCTCTTCCTTCTCCTTCTCCTCCTCCTCTTCCTCCTCCACTTCCTCCTCTTCCTCCTCCCTGTCCGTCTTCTCCTCCTCTCTCCTCCCTCCGCTCTCCTCCCTCCCTTCTCCTCCTCGGGAGGGGGGGGCGCATCGTGGGCCCAGGCGCGTGCGCGGACACAGGCCTCCAGCGCTCTGCACAACACAAGGCGGAGGCCCTCGGCTGGCCGCCGCGGGACGGTCAAAAAACGGCTCAGGATGAGAAGCCCGTGAGTGCCCTGAGATCCGACGTTGCACGAGCAAATCGAGGCATCGTGGAGACTCTCGACCGGGACCCTGGACCCCATCTCTTTGCGCCGTTTTGCGAGCCAGATCGATCCGTGAGGACCCCGTGGCGAGGCGCCAGGCGAAGACGCCTGCTGTGAAGAAGTGTAACGCCGGGCTCTCCGGGTGGGTCGAGGCTCCCGCCCCGAGGATGGGAAACAGCAAGACGTCGGCTCTCCGGGCCCCGAGGCTTCCCTCGCCGCCCGCGGGCTCCCGCGGGGGGCCCTCCTCGGGTCCGGGGGGGCGCCGAAGCACGCGGCTGAGGACGAATAGCTGGTCCTGGGGGGGGGGCCCCACAGCGTCCAGGGCCCGTTTCCCTCGGGGCCCCCTTCCCGAGATCCGACGTCGCCCAACAATGGCAACATCGCGAAGAGTCACCACCGGATCTTGAGAGCCCCATCGATCCGCGAGGGTCCCTGGGCCCGAGAGGGAGCGGAAGTGCCCAGCGTGAGGACATTGCAGCGCCCGAAGCTCAGGGAAGGCCGCAGGGTCCAGGACGCGCCTTGCTTCATCCCACGCCCCCGACGTCATGATGTTATCACAGCGTCGACCCCCAGAGGTCTCGACCCACTACCCGGGACCGATTTGTTCATCCCGAGCCGATCTCTGAGGGCCCCGAGGCCCGGTAAGGCCTCCTAGAGGCTGAGCACAGCGAAGAACCTCCCGTCGTGACTTCTTCCTGACCCGAGGGGGGCCTGGGATGCTAACAGGCCTCTACCCGCTGCGGCAAGATGTGGCGGCTGCAGGGCGGGGCCTTCGAGGAAGCGGGGGGCAGCAGTCGTCCTGGCAGCCACGACGCTCTGCAGGGGGGAGCGCCGAGGCGGCCTCCACGGGCGCAGCTCTCCGGCGGCGTCATCTTTCCAGCCGGCGGGTTTCCCTGCAAGGTGGACTCCTCTTCCTCCTCCTCCTCGCTCCTCCTCCTTCTCCTCGTCGCTCCTCGCTCCTCGCTTCTCCTCATCCTCCTCTTCCTCCTCCTCGCTCCTCGCTCCTCGCTCCTCGCTCCTCCTCCTCCTCCTCCTCCTCCTCCTCCTCCTCCTCCTCGCTCATCCTTGTCCTCCTCCTCCTCCTCCTCGCTCCTCCTTGTCCTCCTCCTCCTCCTCCTCCTCCTCCTCCTCGCTCCTCGCTCCTCGCTCCTCTCCTCCTCCTCCTCCTCCTCCTCCTCCTCGCTCCTCCTCGCTCCTCGCTCCTTCTCCTCGTCCTCCTCCTCCTCCTCCTCCTCCTCGCTCCTCCCATACCCATCGTGGCGGCGGAGGTGTCTCCGGGTGCGTGTTGTCGGATGGGGGTCCTGTTTGAGGAAGATTCGCGCGAGCATGTTAGGGTCCCCGCCCTACGCGGACTGCGACGACCCCCGCCTGCCGCAGGGGGTCCCGCCGCAGGGCCCCTCGGCAACGATCAGAGACCTCGGCCCCTGACCTGAGAGCCCTCTGGCGGTATGCTTTTCCAACCGGCGGGTCTTCCCTTCAAGGTGTGTGTGGGGGGGCTACGTGAGGGTTTCGGACGTCTTCGTCGATTCCAGGAGGTCTTCCTGCCCCAGGATGCGTTCCAGCAGCTGCGCCTCGCCGAGGGCGTTCGGGGGGGGCCTGGATCGTCCCGACCAGCCGCCAGAGGCTCGAGTTATGGCCCGATAACCGAGGGACCCCAGATCTCCGACGGTCATCCGTGTTTTTCCCAATCATCCTGTGGTGTTGTGTCCTCGTTTTTGAAGAGACGGTGCGGCGCGTCTCCTCCTCCTCCTTCCTCGTTTCACCCACCCAGTACAGCGTTTCGTGGCCCCATAGGGAGCTCCGACTACGGTCCCAGTGGCGGAGCTCGCATGGCGGCCTGGGCCATTTCGGCACACCGCTCACACGTTTCGTGGCCCCATAGGGAGCTCCACCTAAGGTCCCAATGGCGGAGAACTCGCATGGCGGTCTCGGGCCATTTCGGCACACCCCTCACACGTTTCGTGGCCCCATAGGGAGCTCCACCTAAGGTTCCAGTGGCGGAACTCGCATGGCGGCCTCGGGCCATTTCGTCACACACCTCACCTGGATCGTGGCCCCATAGGGAGCTCCACCCAAGGTCCCAGTGGCGGAACTCGCATGGCGGCCTCGGGCCATTTCGGCACACCCCTCACACGTTTCGTGGCCCCATAGGGAGCTCCGCCTAAGGTCCCAGTGTCGGAACTCGCATGGCGGCCTCGGGCCATTTCGTCACACCCCTCACCCGTTTCGTGGCCCCATAAGGAGCTCCACCGAAGGTCCCAGTGGCGGAACTCGCATGGCGGCCTCGGGCCATTTCGGCACACCCCTCACACGTTTCGTGGCCCTATAGGGAGCTCCACCTAAGGTCCCAGTGGCGGAGCTCTCATGGCGGCCTCGGGCCATTTCGGCACACCCCTCACACGTTTCGTGGCCCCATAGGGAGCTCCACCTAAGGTCCCAGTGTCGGAACTCGCATGGCGGCCTCGGGCCATTTCGGCACACCCCTCACCCGTTTCGTGGCCCCATAAGGAGCTCCACCGAAGGTCCCAGTGGCGGAACTCGCATGGCGGCCTCGGGCCATTTCGGCACACCCCTCACGAGGATCGTGACCGAGCTCCACCGAAGGCGCCACTGGCAGGGTTCGCATGGCGGCCTCAGGCCATTTCGGCACACCCCTCACGAGGATAGTGGCCCCATAGGGAGCTCCACCGAAGGCGCCAATGGCAAGGTTCGCATGGCGGCCTCGGGCCATTTCGGCACACCCCATCACGAGGATCGTGGCCCCATAGGGAGCTCCACCGAAGGCGCCAGTGGCAGGGTTCGCATGGCGGCCTCGGGCCATTTCGGCACACCCCATCACGAGGATCGTGGCCCCATAAGAAGCTCCACCGAAGGCGCCACTGGCAGGGTTCGCATGGCGGCCTCGGGCCCTTTCGGCACACCCCTCACGAGGATCGTGGCCCCATAGGAGCTCCACCGAAGGCGCCAGTGGCAGCTTCCCTCATGGACTCCTGCTTCTGCTCCTCGGTCAGGGGGGCGCCGTCCTCGTCGTCGTCGGCGCCCACGAAGACGGCCGTGAACGTGTCCCTGAGCATGTCGGGCTCTGGCGGGAAGCCGTGGCCACATAGGGAGCGTGGGCGAAGATGGTATTCACAATTGCGGTATTCACAACTGCGTATGGTTGGGTCTTTCGCCTGGTCCACCACGCTTCGGCGCGTCACGCTGTCCACGTCCCCATTCCCAAGCGTCAGCAACTCGAGCTCTTCTCAGCATCCCGCCCCGTGGATCGCAGCGGCACGCTGTCCTCTCACTCCTTTGCCTGAGATCCGACGTAGCAAAACAATGACAACATCGTAAAAATCACGCCAGGAGCCCTAGACCTCATTTTTCTGCGTCATCTGTCGAGCCGGATCGATCTGTGAGGGTCCTGCCCTCGCAGATCGAACGTGGCCGGCTCGAAAACATTGGAGCGCCAGGATCTCAGGGTTGTGCGCACCGCCAGAGAACGTCGGCGCAGAGGATCTCCCCAGGCTCCTGCCAGGCCGCCGGGCACGCATGCCCAGGTCTCCCAGCGTCGTGACGAGTCAGGGCGCGAGGTCGTCGGCCATTCTCGGCCTTTGGGGGCCGTAAGCTTACGGCGTGGCGAACGGCAGATTCTCTGACGTGGACGACATTCCTTCGCAAGTTACCGCCTTGGACATTCCACAAGTGGCATTGCTGGTCATTCCTTAACAGTTTTCAGAACAATAACTGATAATTCAGGAATGCTCAACATGGCATTTTTTTTGGTATCGGGGTCGATCATTTTGCAACCAGTAAGCAGACCCAGACCCTTTGGGGTCATGGAAAAATCACGGCGGGAGGTTTTTCGCGATTTTCCGTCGCTGGGGGGGCTTACCGGACCCCGGAGCCGTCAAGCATCGACTCAGGATGAAAAGTCGGTCCCAGGGAGTGGGTCGGGGCCTCTGGGGGTCGACGTTGCGAGAAAGTCATGACGTCGGAGGGCTGGGGAAGTGGGTCAGTATGAGAAGCTGGTCCCAGGGAAAAGGTCCAGGCCTGCGGGGTTGGACCCGTCTGGAGGTTTGAGGTGGCCCAGCATTGGTTCCGCCCGGCAGGAAAGGAGGGCAGGTTCGAGGTTTTGGGGTCGGGAAGGTTATTCTGCCTCCGGGAGCCTTTCTCGGGCCCGGGAGCAGTGAAAAGCGGCTCCGGGGTGAACAACTGCACCAGGTGGAGCCCGGGAGGGGTCCAGGGACCGATTTTGAGCGGATTGGGCCTCATCTCCACTTACTGACCGACTGTGAAGGCGAATGACGACGACGACGACGACCACGACGACAACGAAACCGACGAGCTGATGATCCTGCCACAGGCTCGGGGTATCGGGCGGGCGGTGGAGGGAGGAGGAGGAGAAGGCGGAGGAGGAGGAGGCGGAGGAGGGCTCGGAGACCGATTTCGAGCGGATCGGGCCTCATCCCCAACTCCTGACTTCTGGGCCCCCAATCAGTTCAGACCGCGGGAGTGCGGCTGGCGCCGAGGCGCGGACGTGGTCATCGCCCAGCCCCCCATAGACGTCGTGCTTCTTGCGGAGCGAAAAAGCACGTGACGAGCGGTTGCTCTGACACTCACTGCAGTAGGTACATCAAAATGGGAATCGGCCTACAAGCAGGCGCCCCACGGACCTTTCCCTCGATGGCCCTGGGGGCCACAGAATTCGCTCAGCCCCAGGGCACATCTGGAAGCTCAAACCTCGACGACAAACGAACCCGTAGATCTCATTTAGCAAGACTTATTTTCGTATGTGTCGACTGTGGGACAGAGAGGGCCGGGTTCTGAGGGGGTCCGCTAGGTCTCAGAGCTCCGCAAGGTTTCCAATCGCGCGCTCAAGAGGCGGCAACCACCTGGCTTCCAACAAGCCCAGATCCTTTTTCCCCTCGCCCCACCCTATCCTCCACCATCCTCCTCAAAGATGAAACAACGGCACAAGCATAAACGTTTGGAGCTCCGCGCGGATATCTTCTGTCTGTGCTGGACCCCCCTCCCTGGCGCGCGGAGTGCGCCGGGGGCGGCGCCGGAGGTGTCGCCAGGGGGGGCCCAGCGCCGATTTGCGAAATCCGCGCGGACCTCCGAAAGTTTGTGTGCATTCAGGTTTTTTTGCGTCTCCTGTTCGAGAGGCCCTGCTGTAGAAGCCCGCCGCCCGGCAGGGGCGGGCGCCTCTCGCCACCAGGGGTGTCAGCGCCGATCCACGAAGCCTGTTCGTCTCTGTGCCGTTCTCTGTTCCTCCGGGGCCCCCCAGTTCTCAAATATCCTGGGCGTTCCCGAGCATTCTTGGGCTGCCTCGCATGATCTCCCCAGAGGTCAGGGCCCCAGGACGGGCCCAGAGGGCCCCGGAAAGCGCCCAAGAAGTTCCAAGTGGCCTCCAAGACAGCCTCAGAGTTCGCCAAAACGCCCAAGAGGCCCAAGAGGCCCCAAAGAAGCCCCGAGAGCGTCCGAAGATGACCCCCAAGAAGGCCCAAAGAGGCCACAATCATTGATTTTCCTGGTGTTTGTTCGATGTGTTTTCGCGTTTTCGTGTTTTCGGGTTTTGACCTCAAAAGGGCCCAAGATGCGCCCAAGATCGCCCAAGAGGGCCCTAAGACGGCCCCAAGAGGGGCCCAAGAGGGGGAACACGAACCGACAAGTCGAGCCTTCCGCCCCAAGAGGTCCCCAGGAGGCCCGAAGAGGCCCCCAAGAGAGCCCACGAGGCCCCATCGAGGCCCCACGAGGCTTCCAAGAGGCCCCAGAAAGAGGCCCTCCCACGATGTCCGAACGAACCTCCAAGAGGCCTCTAACCCGCAACCCAGGCACGGTGGCGGGATGGGCCGAAGGCCAAGAGCGCTTCGGCAACCTGCCCTAGATGGCTCATGGCACCCTTCGCTCTTGGGAGCCTTGTTGGTAAGAGCTTGCTGCGTCACCGCTCGTTCTTGGGAACCTTGCTGGTAAGCGCGTGTTACGTCACCGCTCTCTGCCATGGCAGGGAGGTCATCAGTGCGGGCCGACCTTCCGCCACCCCGCCGCCGAGCCCAGCGAGGCGAGGGGCACCAGCGCCGAGGCCGCCGACTTCCTCGGCCCTTCCTCCTCCTCGTCTCTCTCTCCGCAGCCGCTTCGGCCCAGCGCGGCGCGATCGGCTCGCGCCTCCGCCCCGCCCCGCTGCCCTGGCCGGCAAGCGCGGCCATGGTCGGCGGGGGGTCCTGCTGTGGGCTGGGGCAGGGGGCCGCCAGGTGAGCCGCGCGGCGGCTGCAGAGCATGCGGCAGCGGAAGGGCGACCCGGGCGTCCTCGAGTGGGCCGTGTCCGACCCGGTGCCGGCCGTGGGGTGCGTGCGCCTGCGGCTCACGGCCTGCCCCGGGGCCCGCGGGCCTGGCAGGGCGCCCAAGCTGGCGGCGGCCCCGAAGTGCCTCATCGAGGCGTGGGCCGAGAGCACGGCTGGCTCGGAGGAGGTCGCCTACTGCCACGTGACCGCCAGGCTGGGCCACCCGCGCGCGCGCGTCCACTGGCTCGGCCGGAGCCAGCAGCGCGCGGTTCACAGCAGCGTGGGCGGCGTCAGGTGCGTGCCTCACGGGAGGGCGGCCGCGCCGAGTGCTGGGGGCGGCACGGCGCCCGTGCTCGACAGGAAGATGGGCGGCCGCGAACGGATCACCCTAACAGCCCCTTGCACGGCAGGCTCGCAGGCATGCTCGCGTCGTTGAGATTCGCGACGGGAGGTTTTTGGCAACTTTCGGCCTCAGGGGCCCCGGACCGACAAAAACGGCTCGGGACGAAAAGCCAGCCCTGGGGGCAGATTCGGGACTTCCTGGGGCCCCAGTTGGGAAAAATCAGGACCTCGCATGTTTGGGTTCGCGCCGTGTCGGCGCGGCAGCGGCCTTGGCGCTGGCGTTCAAGGTTGAATGCCACCAGTGTGTGGGAATCGACCGGCATCGAATGAGCGGCGCCATCAGAAAGCTGCGATCGTTTCAGGCTCAACGATCCACGCGGCGTCAGAAGCCAGCGAGCAAGCCGTCACGGCACGAACTTGCCATAGTCTTGGAGCATCGCTGGGCCCTCCCCCTCTTCCTACGGGACGGTCTAATTCGGAGGTTCGGGCCCACGGATCTGGAGGATTCCCCGGCCTGCGCCGTCGCGTTTTTCACACGACAGCGGGCCCCGGTGTTCTGTTTGGTAGCGACTCATGGGGGCCTCGTGAGCAACCGAAATTCCGTTTTTGGATGTTATTCGCCTGCGGTAGCGTCGGATAATCGATGAGAAAGCAAAGATTTTGCGTCGTTCTAGCTTCGATTAGCGTCGATTCGTGTCCGTTAGCGTCGACTCGCAAGAACCAGCAAGATGGCATCGGAGGCTCCAACGAGTTGCCACAAAGCTCTGGACTGCATTCCCGGCTGCCGTCCAGGTATGGTTTTCCAACAATTCGGAGAAGCTGAATTATGGGAAACCGGGAGCACGCGGCGTGGTCACCACGTTTCCCGGAATTCGAAGGTGATTCCAGGTTTCCCATAATTCGGCATTATGTGCGTCGTGATCCCAGATTTCCTACCATTCGAATATGGGAAACCTCGAATTCGAATTAGGACACCCGAATTATGGGAAACCCAGAATCAGCTCATAGAGTGCGTTTTTTCGTGGTGATTCCAGGTTTCACATAATTCGGAATTATGGGAAATCCGGAATCAGCTTATAGAGTGATGTTTTTCCTGGTGATTCCAGGTTTCCCGTACTTCGAGCCCCTCATTTGGGGCAGCGGGGGCGGCAGATTCTGGCAATGCGGAAAAGTTCCTTGCAACTCGAATTCAGAATTTCGGGGAACCAGGGGGGAGAGAGAGAGGCCGCTGGGGGGCTCGAATTATGCGACACCTGGAATCATTACAAAAAACCGCACTCTATGAGCTGATCCTGGGTTTCCCACACTTCGGAATTATGGGGAACCCAGAATCAGCTGATAGAATGCGTTTCTTCGTGGTGGTTCCAAATTTCCCATAATTCGAATTCGAGGTTTCCCACATTTGAAGATGAGAAACCTGAGGTCACCACAGAACAACAACTTTTGAGCTGATTCCAGGTTTACCATGATTTTGAATTATGGAAAACTTGGAATCAGCTCAAGGAGTGCGGTTTTTCGTGTGACTCCAGTTTTCCCATAATCGAGCCCCTCACTTGGGGAAGCAGTGGCGGCAGATCCCCGCAATGCGGAAAGTTCCCCGCAACTCGAATTCAGAATCTCGGGAAACCAGGGGGGAGAGCCCGCTGAGGGGTTTGAATTATTGGAAACCTGGAATCACCACAAAAACTGCACTCTATAAGCTGATTCTGCGCTTTCCATAATTCGGAGTGGTGGGCGCCTGGAATCAGCTCATAGAGTGCGGCTTCTCGTGGTGACTCCAGGTTTCCCATACATCGAACCCCTCATTTGGGGAAGCGGTGGCGGTAGATTCCCGCAATGCGGAAAAGTTCCCCGCAATTCGAATTCAGAATTTCGGGAGATCACGTGTGAGAAGCCGCTGGTGCGGTTTGAATTTTTGGACAATCCGGGGCAGTCGTCCGGCTGTGGGTTCCCGTAAGTCGGAATGATGGGAAATTTGGAATCAGCTTATAGAGTGTTTTTTTGTGTGGTGATTCCAGGTTTCCCATGATTCGCAGGCCCAAAGCCCGACGACTGCCGTGTTCCCAGGGCCGGCCTTCCCGATGCGGGCCGTCTCTTGAGGGCGCCTGCCTGGCCCAGGGAAACGGTTTCCAGACGCCAAGACTGCAAGACAACGCTCCGCCGATGTTTTCTTGTTTTTCCCAACGCTCCTGTGTATTGAGTTTTCGTTTTGAAGAGAGCGCAGTGGTCTCCATCATGCTTCCTGCTTCCTCCTCCCTTCTCCTCCTGCCGCCTCTTTTCTCCCTTGCTCGTATGTTTTCTAGTTCTGTTTTTCCCAACCCTCCTCTGGTAGGGTATTCGTTTTGAGTAGAGCACTGCTCGCGCCCTTCCTCCTCCTTTCCGCCTCCCTCCTGCTTCCTCTTTTTTATTCTCTCTCTCTCTCTCTCTCCCTTCCCCCCTCTCTCTATTTCTACCTTTATCACCTCTTGTCTTGTTCCTCTCCCGCACCTGCCTGCGGCCTCGCCATCCCCGGGGGGCTGTGATCTGCGAAACTGTCGCCATTTTCGAGGGCTGCTGGGGGGACCAGCATAGCAGGTACTTGCCGCAGACTCAAATTGGACCTCGCCATCCCCGGCGGGGCTGCGATCTGCAAAATTGGCGCTCGTTTCGAGGGCTGCTGGGGGGACCAGCATAGCGGGTACTTGCCGCAGATTCAAAGTAGACCTCGTCATCCCTGGGGGCTGCGACGTGAGAAACTGTCGTCACTTTCGAAGGCTGCTGGTGGGCTAGCATCGTGGGTATTTGCCGCGGATCCAAATTCGACCTCGCCATCCCTGGCGGGGCTGCGATCTGCGAAACTGTCACCACTTTCGAGGGCTGCTTGGCGGGCAGCATAGTGGGTGCTTGCCACAGATTCAAATTTGACCTCGCCATCCCTGATGGGTTGCAATCTTCGAAACCGTCGCCACTTTCGAGGGCTGCTTGGGGGGCAGCATAGTGGGTTCTTGCTACATATTCAGTTTAGATCTCGCCATTTTTGGGGGGCTGCGATCTGCAAACATGTCGCCACGCTCAAGGGCGGGGCAGCATAGTGAGTACTTGCCGCAGACTCAAACTAAACCTCGCCATCCTTGGGGGGCTGCGATGTGCGAAACTGTGCAACAGTGTCGCCATTTTCGAGGGCTGCTGGGGGGTCCAGCAGACTGAAGTCATACGCGGACCTTACGTAGACCTCGCCATCTCTGGGGGCTGCGGCTTGCGATATTCTCGCCACTTTCGAAGGCTGCTGGTGGATCCAGCGGGGTGACTTCATGTGCGGACCTAAATTAGGCCACGCCGTCCCTGGGGTGCTGCCATCTGCGAATCAGTCGCCACCTTTGAGGGCTGCAGGGGGGTCCAGCGGAGTGACGTCATACGCGGACCTAGATTTGACCTCGCCATCCCTGGGGAGGCTGCGATCTGCGAAACTGTCGCCATCTTCGATGGCTGCTGGGGGTCCAGCGGAGTGACGTCGTACGCGGACCTTAAGTAGACCTCGCCATCTCTGGGGGCTGCGGCTTGCGATATTCTCGCCACTTTCGAGGGCTGCTGGGGCTAGACCTAAATTCAACCTCGCCATCCCTTGGGGGGGCTGCGATCCGCCACGCTGTCGCCACTTTCGAGGGCTGCTGGGGCTCCAGCTGAGTGACGTCACACGCAGACCTATGTTAGACCTCGCCATCCCTGGAGGCTCCATTCTGCGAAACTTTTGCCGCTTCTGAGGGCTGCTGGGGGGTCAAGCAGAGTGACTTCACACGCGGACCTGAATTTGGCCACGCCGTCCCTGGGGTGCTGTCCGCGAATCAGTCGCCACCTTTGAGGGCTGCTGGGGGGTCCAGCGGAGTGACGTCATACGCGGACCTAGATTTGACCTCGCCATCCCTGGGGGGCTGCGATCTGCGAAGCTGTCGCCATCTTCGATGGCTGCTGGGGGGTCCAGCGGAGTGACGTCCCACGCAGACCTAAGTTCAACCTCGCCATCCCTGAGGGGTGGGAGGCTGTCTGCGACGCTGTCGCCACTTTCGAGAGCTGCTGGGGGGTCCAGCGGAGTGACGTCATACGCTGCGATCTGCGACATTGTCGCCACTTTCGAGGGCGGCTGGGGGGTCATTCAGAGTAATGTTATAATGTCATACGCAGACCCCAATGTGTCCTCGCCATCCCTGGAGGGCTGCGGTCTTCGAAGCTGTCGCCACTTTCGAGGGCTGCTGGGGGGTCCAGCGGAGTGACGTCCCACGCAGACCTACATTAGTCCTCGTCGTCCCTGGTGAGGCTGCAATCTGCAACCCCGTTATCACTTTCGAGGACTGCTATGGGGGAGGGGTCCAGCAGAGTGACGTCGCACGCAGACCTAATTCTGACCTTGCCATCCCTGGGATGCTGCGATCTGCGACATTGTCGCCACTTTCGAGGGCTGCTGGGGGATCCTGCGGAGCGACGTCATACGCGGACCTAAATTTGGCCTCGCCATCCTGGTGTGTGGCTGCGATCTGTGACACGGTCATCACTGTCGAGGGCTGCTTGGGGCTCCAGCGGAGTGATGCCATGCGATGGCCTACATTTAGCAGCGGCATCCCTTGGGGGTGCTGCGACCTGCGAGACCGTCGCCGCTTTCGGCGGCTCCTTGGGAGCCCAGCAGAGCGACGTCAGACGCATACATATGCTCGGCCTCGCCATCTTTGGGGGGCTGCGATCTGCGAAGCTGTCGCCACTTCCGAGGGCTGCTGAGGGTCCAGCGGAGTGACGTCGCGCGCAGACCTAGATTAGACCTCGCCATACCTGGGGCTGCGATCTGCGACACTTGTGTCACTTCCGAGGGCTGTTGCGGAGTCGAGCGGGTTGACGCCCGACGCCAACCTAGATTAGACCTCGCCATCCCTGGGGAGGTTGCGATCCGCGACGTTGTCGCCACTTTCGAGGGCTGCTGGTGAGTCCAGCGGTGTGATGTCCCACGCAGACCTACGTTAGACCTCGCCATCCCTGGGGAGGCTGCGATCTGCGACACTGTCGTCACTTTCGAGTGCTGCTGGGGGGTCCAGCGGAGTGACATCACACACGGACCTGAATTAGGCCTCGCCATCTCTGGGGGGCTGCGATCTGCGAAGCTGACGCCACTTTCGAGGGCTGCTGGGGGGTCTAGCGGAGTGAAGACATACGCGGACCGAAACTAGGCCTCGCCATCCTTGGGGGGCTGCGATCTGCGAGCTGACGCCACCCTCGAGGGCTGCTGAGGGTCTAGCTGAGTTACGTCCTACGCAGACCTATGTTAGACCTCGCCATCCACAGGGGCTGCGATCTGCGAAACTTTTGCGGCTTCTGAGGGCTGCTGGGGGGTCCAGCGGAGTGACGTCACACGCAGACCTACATTGGACCTCGCCATCCCCTGGGAGGCTGCGATCTTCGAGCTGTCGTCACTTTCAAGGGCTGCTGGGGGGTCCAGCGGAGTGACGTCCCACGCAGACATCAATTGATCTCGCCATCCCTGGGGAGGCTGCGATCTGCGACACCGTCGCCTTTGCAGGGCTGTTGGGAGTTCCCGCAGAGTGACGTCCGACGCAGATTCTGATTCGACCTCACCACCCCTGGGCCCCTGGGGGGGTCTGCGATCTGCGACTTTGTCGCCACTTTCGAGGGTCTCTGGGGGGTCCAGCGGAGTGACGTCCGACGCAGATGCAGATTCGACTTCACCATCCCTGGGGGATGCGAACTGCGAACTTGCTGCCAGTTCCAATGGCTGCTGGGGGGTCCAGCACAGTGACGTCCCACGCAGACTCAATTTAGTCTTAACTTCCTTTCCCTCAGACCGCCCAGAGACCTGGCGGCTCGCCTGCGGGCGTTTAGCTTCCGCAATGCGAGGTGCCGGAAGGAGGCGGATAACCTGGCGGGCGAGCTCGGCCGCGCTTGGTTCTCTTACAATTTATGAACAGCTGCTACTGTCGAGCATCAGGGAGACATGGCGTGGGCCGCGCTGCTTGTCCAGCGTGCAACTGGCAGATTATCGCCACCCTCCTGCCTCGTCCTGCCTTTTTCGTTGTGGTGTTCTTCCTCCCTCACCGTTCCACTGCTGCTGTCGCGTGAACTTGCCGGCCCCTTTCCGTTGTTTTCCTTCCCCTCGTTCCCACCCTCATTTCCTCTTCGAGACTGGGGCCTCAGTCCTCGTCCTTCTGTTACTGTCCTGTCAGTCGCGCAACGCGCGCGCGCGCGCTTCCCGTATAGCTCGCGCAACCAATGGCAAACCCTGTGTTGTCATCAGCCGTATTATTATGGACCAACTCTTCTTGCCACTTGGTGCAGATGGGTTAGGTACGTCGCAGGGTAATGCGCACGACCCTCCCTAGGGTCGTGTCTGCTCTCGCGTCGTCCTTCTCCTGCCTCCTCCTTTCTCCCTGCCTCTCCCCGATCTCCCCTGCACCCTTGTGCTCCTCCTCCCTTTTCCCTGCCTCTACCCGCTCCCTCTAAATCTGCATGGGGGGCTGGTGCCGGCGCAACTGTAAGCACTTTCGTTGCCGGAGGCCCAGCGGAGCGACGCTACACGTACATCTAGACGGGACCTCGCGGCTCCTTGGGGAGCTGAGATATGCACAATTGTCGCCAGTTTTGTTGGCTCCTGGGGAGCCCAGCAGAGCGACGCCACCCGCGCATCCAGACGAGACCTCGCGGCTCTCAGGGGTGGTGCCACCTGCAAGTTCCTCGCCATTGTCGCAGGCTTTTGGGAGGTCAATCAGAACGACGCCACACGCGCACCCAGTCGAAACCTTGCGGCTCCCTGGGACGGTTGCCAACTGCGCAGCTGTCGCCAGTTTCGTGGGCTTCAGCGGAGCGACGTTTTACGCCGCCACGCAACCTCTTTTTTTGGTCATCGTCAGCCTTCCGTCTGTTCCCCCTCCATGTCTTATCTTGTGGCTTTCTCTCATTTATTTGTCCCGTGAGGCGTGCAACGCGTAGGCTTCCCGTGTAGCTTACACAACGCATCATTATCCTTTCGGGGTCCCAGGCAGCCCCTCCCAGTCGTGGTCGCCGTCGTCAGCGTCCGTTGTCGTCGTCAGCGTCCGTTGTCGTCGTCGTCGTCGTCGTCGTCGTCGTCGTCGTCGTCCCGTTCCTCCCCCTTTTCCTTCTCGCCCTCCTGGCCGTCCTCTTCTTCCTGGCCCGCGTCCTCCTGCCGCCCGCCGCCCGCCGCCGTCGAGCCCAGGAGGCTGACCGTCGCCGAGGCGCTCTTCGGCGCCGCCGCGGCCGCCGCTGAGAGGCTCGGGGCGCAGGCCCTGGAGCTCCAGGCCATGGACAACGGGTCCTCGAGGGAGAAGACACTCTGCGGCGTGCCCGGGTTGGGATCTCGGCGGCAAGACGCTTTCCGACGCTCTCGTCGGCGTGCCCTGGGGGGACTCGGCGGCAAGACGCTTTCCGACGCTTTCGTCGGCTCCCAGGGGTTTTCCAGCTTCCGGGACGCTTGCCAGCAGCCGCGCCTCGCCGAGGGCGTTCTGGGGGTGCTCGGATCGTCCCGAACGGCCGCCGGAGACTCGGGGTGTGACCCGGAAACCAAATTCGGCGGCGCGCCGAGGGAGGACGCGAGAGAGGGCAGGCCTTCTCAGAAGTCGGCGGGGCTTCTCAGAAGCCTTCCGGCCTCTTGAGGAACTACCTCTGTCTTCGGAGAAGCCTTCGACGACTTCTCGGAAGGCCCGAGGCCTTCGGAGTCGTTGCTGTCGCTCCCCCCGCCTATCGTTTGTGCGAGCGGACGCGCGCGTTTCCGCGCGTTTGGCTGAAGTAACTTGAGAGGCAGCGGGGCGGCCGGCCTCGTCAGGTGAGGGATCTCATCACATTTTCCAGCCGACGGTTCATATGTACGGAACAAAGTTACCGGGGCATTTTTACGTTGACGTCGAGGCGGTCGAAGCCATTGGCATCGACGTCTTGGCCGACGATGAAGAAACCCCCGTATATGTATTGAATGATCTGTACTGTATCCTGTCACTTCGGAGGCGGCACCTTAATTACTCGAGACAGCGCACATCCGCCGCAGCGGAGCAACGCCCGATATGCCTGGAGCCAGTCTTCCAGAACCGACACTGAAGAAGGGGCCAGCGTTTTCGGGCACGGTGAGGGGACTATCTCATCAACAGCCAGCTCTTGCGCGTCGTGGAGAGCCCGTGGGGAGGACCGACAGGATGGCGGACCGATGGGTGCGAAAAGGCTCCGCCCTGCACCCTCGCAGCTGTCCAGCGCCTTCTGCTCCAGCCCCGGAAGACGGTGAAGGTGTAGCGGTGGGTGCCAGCCCTGGTGCGCGCGCTGGTTCCAGTGGCTCTGCCGCTGGGCCCTCGTTTTTCCGCCCACCGGTGCATGCATGTAAGACCACGCTGTTGACCACAACGACTCCCGCCGGTCCCGAAGGCTCCCTGCGTCCCGACGCTGGGACGGAGAAGGGCGGCTGAGAAGCAAGCACCCACTCCGTCCCACTTGAGCTCCGACGTAGGCAGGCCCCAGTAAGGCGAGGTGCGCGAGGCAGAGTATTCCAACTCGATCCGTGATGTCGCCTGTTATCGCGGTCACGATGGTCGAGAGATGCTGGATGCCGACCTCCGAGTGTGCAGCGAATGTGGAGACTTGTTGTCCAGGAAGAACGGGCCGATGTCAGGAGCCAGTTTGTTACGAGCGTTCTGTTCGTAGGGCTAAGGGCATTGCGGCGTCATTTATCTTTGCTTCGAGTGCTTCCCGCAAGTGCAATGTAATTGCATGGGCTTCAGACGGGCCGAGTTGGAGGCTGCGCAGCATCAACATGCGGAGATATTGTGAAACATGTGGACGATATGTCCAGCAACAAATGCATGGGGTCGCCGTTGGTCGGGAAGAGCAAGGACGAGCAATTGGGGCCCGCGAAATGGATTTGGCGGCCGAGGACCGGGATAGACGCTTCTCTGCCGAAGGGGTTGAGGATAATCAGATGGCATTGAGAGCGCGGGTGGTTGTATATATATATATATACATATATATATATATATATATATATCACGTCGCAGAAGAGGCCGCTATGGGGGGTCGAGAGGTAGAAGTAGCTGGGGCCCGCGAGAAGGCCGAGGTGGAGTTTCACATTGAGACAACCTGCAGGGCTCAAAAGGCTGAAGTGACGGCCTTGACAGCGGACCGTGACGAAAGGGCAGTGTCAGAGCATAGTAGTGTGCAAGCGTTGAGGGCCAGTCTGCTCCAAGCTGAGAGTGGCTTGGCTGCCGTGGAGGCACTGGCGACCGCAACCCGTAACCGGCGACAGACCATGACGACGGCCAATTCTGGAATTGGTGTCGCAACGTGTGCCAGCGGTGGACTCTGCCTGGTGCTGCAAGAGGCGCGGGTGTTTTCTGCTGCTAGAAAAAGCAAGCTTCAAAGCGTGCCGGCTCGAGGTGCTGCGACCGACCCTCGTGCGGTGTGACCGCGCAGCATTCGCGAAGGTTGCCATGCCAATTTGGAGATTCTTGAATCGTTCTTTGGTTGGTTTGTGCACCTTCGCATCGCCGTTGGACCCAGGCATGTCGGCCAGGGAGCCGGGGCTGTCCTTCTGGCCCCACTTCCGGCTCTGGGCTGTGGCCCGAATGACGGGCAAGTGGCCCAAGTCGGTTCTGGGGGGCCAAGAGCACCCCCTGCTCCTGCGCCGTTGCGGAGCCCGCGGGCGCCGCGGGGCTGCAGTGCGTCGCGCGCTGAGTGCCTGCCCCGCGTTCGACCGGGAACGCCAGAAGTTTTTTTCCAGGGGGTCCGTTGCCTGATTTGCTGCTCGAGCAATTGTTCGGAGATGCCCTGGCGCTCCCGCGTGAGTATCCAGCGCGTGGTTTTTGTAGGCGGAGCCATTCGTAGGCGTGCCCCGTCTTCCCTCTCCTCGTGTTCTTCCCCCTCCTTCTCTTCTCCCGCCTCTGGATAGGTGGCGGGGTATCCGTTGCCGCGCGGGCGGCTCGACAGGCCCGCCAGGTCTGACGCTCCCCGTGCTTCGCATACGCGATGCGCGCCGCGCTGGCCTGGCCGTTGAAGGGGAGGGCCCTCCGCTTGTTACTTCGAGTCTGTGTGTGTGTGCTTTCCTTTCTCTTTGGCCCCCTCCCGCGCTCGCGTTCTTGTGCCTGCTGCAAGGTGCCCTTCCGCTTCGCAGTCGGGTTGGGGATTTGTTTGGTTTGTTCCCATGCCTCTTGGGCATGGGGGTGCTCGTTAGGCCCCCCCCCCTCTCGCGCGCCCCTCCCCCTCTCCTCGTGCCAGGTTTCACCGCGGGGGTTCCCGCGGGTTTCGCGGTCCCTTGCCCTGCGAGGCAGCGCCTGGTCCGCTAGGCGCTAGGGTGTCCTCCCAGGCGTCTGCTTGGGTCCACTCGTCGTCCCCAGGGTCGCCTGGTAGCTTTGCCTGGCCATGGGGCCGGGGGGTGGGGATTCCCTGGCGGCGGGGGGGCGGGCGTCGGCAGGCCTGCGGAGATAGCGCGGAAGGGCCGTGGCTCCGGCGAGCGGCGCCTCCCGACTCCGCGGGAAGGGCGGCCGCTCGTGGGTGGCCTGCCCTTGCTCGCCCTGGTACCAGCAGGGTGCGGAAGGGGTGCGTGGCGCCGCTGCCTGTCCCCCAGCGGCTGCGCGACTCCGACCTGCTCGCGCCTGGCAGCTCTAAGCCGCGGCGTCCGGGGCGGGCGCTTGGGGCCGCCGGCGCGCGCGCAGTGGAGGCTGTTATGATTGCGAGGTGCGGAATGCGAAAACATCAGTGCGCAAGCGTTGAGGGCCAGTATGCTCCAAGCTGAGAGTGGCTCCGCTGCCGTGGAGGCGAGCGATGGCGACCGCGACCCTTGCCGGGCGACCGTGTCGACGGCCAGCGCTGGCAGCGGTGTCGCAATGGGAGCCGGCGGTGAGCTCTACCTGGCGCTGCGCGCGTGATTCGCTGAGGTGCGCCGACTGCGCCGAATGCCAGTATCCCTGTCGTAGAACATGCTGCGATTTGCGTTTACATCTGCGTCCAAGATGTCGTGGGGGACAGGCGCGGGCTGCCGAGGAGGCACTCAAAGAAGCGGGCGACGAATACATTGCAATGCGCAGGCGGCAGCCCGGGCATCTCGAGCGGCTACAAGTCGATGGACAAGCGAAGCAACGAGTGGGTCATGAAGAGAGCGTTGCGTAATTTCAGTGAGCTTATTCCGACGTGGCTGCCAATTATGAAGCCCAGGCGCGTCGGGCCGAGTAAGTCCATGCTAGAGCCCAGATGCGGGAAACGCGTCGTCGTGCCGAGGTGACTGAGAGGACCGCGACTTCGGAATAATAAGATCGTTCTCGCGCGTCTGACGAGCGGACCGACACAATGATCGCTGCAATCAGGCTAGTTGTGGGGGAAATCGTTGACTCCGCCGCCGCGCAGGAAGCTGCCGGGGCGACTCCTGTCGACAGGGCGCTGGAGGGCGACCGCAAGGCTCCGAGATCTGGTAGATATTGCTTAGAGGCGAAGAATCTCCGCGAGCGGGCCCAAGACGGGCGCTCCCTCCGAAGGGGGGGGGTTCTGGTGGCCCTGGGGGTGATGGTCTCAGAGATTGAGGCGGCCCCGACCGCGGTCCAGGGGGGAGTTGGCGATCGCGGCATCCTATGATGGGCCCTGACAGCACGACCCAAAGAGGAACGGGAGTCGCCCGTGGGGGCCAGGCGCTCCTGGAGGCCCGCCTGATGGGTGCGGCCCTGGCGGCCACGGAGATGGCGGTTCTGCGGGGGGCGCGGGGCCGCCCGGAGGCGGGGGCCGACCGTGGGGCGGCCTTCCCAGAGGCGGTGGCTCCCCGGGGTAGCGGGGCTGAATCTGCGGCCCCGACAGAGGATTCACATGCGCCTGCGGGTAAGGGCGAGGGATCGTAAGCCACCCCGCCAGACGCCCCGGATGCCGTGGCTCTCGCAGCGTGGAAAAGGGGAGCTGCGAGTGTGGTTTGGTTGCCGCCGCGGTCAGCGATTCTGGTGCCGCGGCTCTGCGGTTTCTCCGCTCCCGTTGATATGTTGAGGGGTGTCCATGCTCCTCATGTAGCTGGATTGCGCAACGGCGTCAGATTTTTCATTTAAGGAGTGTCGACGGGTCGACGGCGAAATGACTACGCGGGGCCATGCAGCATCTGTTTGCCAGGTTCGATAGTGCCGGTGGTGAGAGCTTCGAGCGTCGATGGGCGCTGCGACAGTGGTGGGGGGGGGGGGGGGGTGCGTCGGACAGTGGAGTGGGCGCCCATGCGCGACCCTTCTACATGCGAGCTGGTGGCCATGTGTGGATCTGGAAGCCCACCGAGCAAATTGGCAGATGATGCAGATGATGAAGGGGCTGAGG